AGAGGCTTGGATTGATCCCTGGTTGAGGAACTAAAGATCCCACATGCTGTGTGAGGTAGCCAAAGGGCAAAAACCAAAACCTACCATTGAAACCCGTGATCCCCACCCTCCGATACTTCAAATGCTCCTCACCTATCGGATGCAGAACACCGATACTCCATCCGTGTTCAAAGAGAGGTGACCCATGCACGGTAGCCTGCCAGGCTCCTCTGTCCCTGGGATTCTCCAGGCAAGAACACTGGAGTGGGTTGCCATTCCCTTCTCCAGGGGATCTTCCCGACCCAGGAAGCAAACCTGGGTCTCCTGCATTGCAGGCAGATTCTTTACCATCTGAGCCGTGAAGAAAGCCCAAGAACACTAGAGAGGGCTGACTTTCTCCTCTCCAGGGGATCTCCCCGGCCCTTGGAACCGAACCTACATCTCCTGCAAGTGGATTCTTTACCCCCAAGTCACCCGGGAAGCCTTTTTCCCACTGTAGTCAGTTGCTAAATATTTGCCAGCATGCTGCTGCATAAACCTCAAATATTTGCTCTATTATCTGGGTGTTTAAAAAGCCAGCGCAGTTGTTTCATCTTTCTTCATAGATGACTGCTTTTGTCCCATCCGTAAAGGACTAACAACTTCTTTTCCCCGCTGGTGGTGCAGACAGGATCAAAGTGTTTAATTTGATCCAGAAGGTGAGCTTTGCAGTAACATAAGAGCAGGAAGCAGCCAAAGGAGAAGTCTGACAGGAGAAAACAGAAGGCAGACTGGCATCGCATCTCAGACCTGGATGAAGAACACAGCAGCCTGTGTGTTAGCGTGTCCTGCCCAGCAGGAAAAAACATATATACAGATCTGGGGCTTGCCAGCCTCGCAACAGAGGATGGGGGCTCAGGTGAACCTCACTTTCTTACCTGAGTCCAACACCACGGCAAAAGGGGGTTGACGTGTATTCCTGCCGACAACACACGCTGGGGAGACCACCCGCCTACTTTGCCAGCCCAGAAACAGCCTCTCACACCCGCAGACAGCAGAGTCAGAATCTCCCCTGAACTAACTGGGAGGGTTTCACAGGGTTTCTATCACGATCCCAGCAAGATTTCATTTGCAGTCATAGACATGCTTGTTGTAAAAATTTTATGGGCACTGCCTGCCAACCCAGAAGCAACTGTTGGAATGCAGATTCTAATTCTGCAGGTGTTGGTGGGGGGAGCAGGGTGTGACCTCTGGTTCCCCCTTGCTAACGAGCTCTTCTCAATCGAGGTCCTCAACGTGACGGTTCTCAAGCTCTCCGTTTGTCAAAAGTCCAAAGCGAATGCAAAGCTCATCAATCTTGTCCGCTGGCAAGACGGTGTTTACCGTTTGGTAAAACTTGGGGAGAGATTACAGCAGGTTTCTGCATCTCTGACAATATCCTGTGTCTTTCCCTGACCCTCTCGTATCCATTTCCATTTTGTAAAATGTTGGTAGCTATTTTACACGTCTTAGCTGAAAATTCGTACGTAATGGTGGTTTACTGGGATGAAAGGTGTGCTCTGATAAAATGTGTTCTTTCGTCCAAAAACAGAAAAAGAGCAGGAATCCCTCCCCCTGCCCACACCCCCCACCCCCGCCAATCATCTAGAAGAGACTTGATTCATTTCAAAGGAAACGGTCTCAGACTTGAGCAGACGTCTTGTATGCTGGCTGCAGATGTTCAGCGATGTGGGCAAAATTGTGACCATTCAGTCTTGGGCAAACATTGCATCTCTGGAATGAAATTCTGTAGAGGCAACTAGGCAGCGTTGAAACCTAAAACCTAGCAAATCTGGTGGACAAGAGGGAATGAATGACGACGTGCACCTTTATTACTGTGGAAAAACATGTATGTTTTCTAACATAAATGGATGGGCTTTTTGTTCTTGTTGTTCACTCGCTCAGTTGTATCCATTGTGAACCCGTGGACGGCAGCACGCCAGGCTTCCCTGTCCTTCACCATCACCCAGAGTTTGTTCAAACTCATGTCCATTGAGTCGGTGATGCCATCCAATCATCTCATCCTCTGTCGTCCCCTTCTCCTCCCGCCTTCAATCTTTCCCAGCATCAGGGTCTTTTCCAATGAGTCGGTTCTTCGAATCAGGTGGCCAGAGTATTGGAGCTTCAGCTTCACCATCAGTCCTTCCAATGAAAATTCAGGACTGATTTCCTTTAGGATGGACTCGTTTGATCTCCTTGCTGTCTCAAAACAAAATAATGTGGGAGTCAGTTTGGAGAACTGACCTTTCTGTGGACCATCATGAAATGCTTCTGCAATGAAGTCATATGTAGTCCTTTTGTAAATCTAATTTGTGAATTACATAACGGAACATTCACTCACGGACTCCTTGGGAGTGAACTGTAAAAAAATCTCACACAAGATTATGTTGTCCGTGAAAAGCCTAATGATATGAGTAATTGCTTGGTAAATGTTTGCTTGCATAGATTGATTTTTTTAAATAATTTATCAGATTTCAGTCTCACAGCTACATGACGGTAAATTTGAAAAGTATAAGCCTTGGATGTACTTGTTCATTTCCCACAGTCCTTATGAATGAAATATCACACCCAGAAATATTTCCTGGCAAGAGCACTTACTTATATCGAAATTGCAAAAAGTTACCTTTCAAAACTTCTTCCTGCCTTTTTAATAGAATTCTTAAATCTGAAATTGGAACACCTGGTAAAAATCATTAAGCTTGGGTGGCTCCATAAAATACAATTTAACACTTATTTCACTAGCTGAGACTTTCACATGTTTCAAAATTTAAAAGCAAATGTATAAATGGATACACATGAATAAGCCTAGCAACTATATATTCGTCATTCAAGCTGGCCTTACTGAAACCATTAGTGGTAATAATAATTGACAACTTTGTATATGCTTGAATATCATTCCATTGGTTTTTATACTTAAAATCAAACATAATATGCATGCAAATAGAATAGACACACACACATATATAAATATGCATGCATGTGGGTTCAGCCCTGTCCGACTCTCTGCAATCCCATGGACTGTAGCCCGCCAGGCTTCTCTGTCCATGGGATTCTCCAGACAAGAATACTGGAATGGGTTGCCATTTTCTTCTCCAGGGGATCTTCCCAACCCAGGGATCGAACCCAAGTCTCTTGGGTCTCCTACTGCGGCAGGTAGATTATTTACCATTAGCACTGCCTGGGAAGCTCAATTATAGTACACAGTATGTTACAGCATATAGATATAGTGTGCCTATATATAGGCTATATATATATATATATATATATATACTCACACACACAATTATATATATATATTATTTTATTTTATATATAAAATATGCACACAAAATTACTGTCTTCTTGATTACGTTCTACACGAAAAGAAAGCATTTTGCCCACATTCCTAGAGAGCAGCATTTCCTGATTTCCTGATCAATCATCTTTTCAGATCCCTGAACTAACCCAGCAAACATAAATCGGAGGAGGGAGATTTCACCATCCACATCGTCAACATCCCGCAGACGCCCTTCAAGAGAGTGCAAGGTGCATTTGCATAAATCAAGGCCCCATCCAGCCTCCTGTCTCCATCAGGCATTCCGGCTTCTGCGCTGCAGACGAGGTGCTTGATTTCCCCAGCGGCTCCCGAGAGGCTGTGAAGGTTTGCAATCAGGGGAGGGGGACTCTCTCGGAATGAGAATCAGGAGATTCATTTCCTGCCGAGCATTCAGGAGAGAACAGAGTGTACTTTCTCAAGAGTCTTCCACGACACGTCTCTCACCAACATGTGGAGAGGTTCAGAGAGATGCTCTTGGTCCCCCTGGTGCTTAAAGAGATTCTTAGAAGGTTTTCCTCTGGGTTCGATCCGTCTGTGATCGCAAAAACGCTGAACTGGTGTTCAGAACCATTGCAGTGACTCTATCTTTTAAAGCAAATCCCCCAAGCATCCTGATTTATAATCTAGGGGTAAGCAAAAGTCTCTACTACACACCCTGCTAGGAGCAAGGACTCCAGTGATAATATGGAGAAGGTGAAAGTGAAAGTGTTAGCCGCTTCAGTGGTGTCTGACTCTTTGCGACCCCATGGACTGTAGCCTGCCAGGCTCCTCTGTCCATGGGATTTTCCAGGCAAGAATACTGGAGTGCGTTGCCGTGCCCTCCTCCAGGGGATCTTCCCGACCCGGGGATGGAATCCGGTTCTCCTGCATTACAGGTGGGTTCTAAGCCCTCTGGAGATGATGAGGGCAGTCTAAAATTTATGGAGTCAGATTTCTACACCTGACGCCTGCCGACCCTGCCTTCCCAACCCCTTCGGTATTCCCACCATCTAGTCTGTCTCCGAATTTCTACACTGCCTTCTCTCTATGTTCATCTGGAGTCCTTGATCATGACTAGCAGGTTGCAGATCAGGGATTTTCCATCCATGTCTGTGAACTTCTCAATATTTTTTACTCTTCCCTGAGCAGAAAATTTGCAGACTCCAAGGATGGAGACATGAGGTGATGGCAACTCAGTACCATTACCAGAGGGTCCTAATAGGGTCTAAATGTCCATTGGAAGGACTGGTGCTGAAGCTGGAGTTCCAGTACTTTGACCATTTGATGCAAAGAGCTGACTCACTGGAAAAGACCCTGATGCTGGGAACGAATGAAGGCAGGAGGAGAAGGGGACGACAGAGGATGAGATGGCTGGATGGCATCACCGACTCAATGGACATGAGTTTGAGCAAGCTCCAGGAGTTGGTGATGGACAGGGAGGCCTGGAGTGCTGCTGTCCATGGGGTCACAAAGACTCAGACATGACTTAATGACTGAATAATAGCAAAACGCCTTGAGGAACCATCTAGCGGCTCAGTTGAGTGCAATAAACTAATTTTTAGTGAAACTCTTCTACCCTTGAATGAAGAAAGTGAAAGTGAAGTTGCTCAGTCGTGTCCGACTCTTTGCAACCCCACGGACTGTAGTCTACCAGGCTCCTCCATCCGTGGGATTTTCCAGGCAAGAATCCTGGAGTGGGTTGCCACTTCCTTCTCCAGGGGATCTTCCTGGCCCAGGGACTGAACCCAGGTCTCCCCCATTGCAGGCAGACACTTTCCCGTCTGCGCCGCCAGGGAAGCTTCAGGAGTGAGAAAGGAGGGCACAGCCTGCTGGTGTCTCATCCACCGCAGAAAGGAATCTGTGCTAAGTCAGCTTCGTGTTGAGGTAGGCAGTATGGTATCTGAAGGAAGGAGAGGTTGAGGGTGTTTTCATCCCTCAGAACAGAAAAGAAAGAGAACGTGGACTGTTCTAGACTCCTGTGGGAGTCCAGAGGTTAAGAATCTGCCTGACAATGCTGGGCTCACAGCTCCGACCCCTGCTCAGGTTAGATGCCAGAAGCTGCTATGCAACTGAGCCCCTGAGCCATAACTTGAGGCCCATGAGCCCTGGAGCTCAGGCTCCGGAAAAAGAGAAGCCACCGCGATGAGAAGCTTGTGCACTGCAGCTAGAGAGTAACCTCCACGCCTCAAACTAGGGGAAAGCCCACGCACAGCCAGGAAGACCTCACACAGCCAAAGGTAAGTAGTAAACAAACAAAATCATTTAAACACCCTTAGCCCTTCCAGAAAAACGCAGTGGGTCTTACACAGGCCTGAAGGGAGATGTCCGTGCATGATCATCCTTGAAGATGAGATGCCTTCACTAAGAATTGAGGAACACCCGTCCGTCATTCTGTGTATGGGGTTCTTTGGTGGGGGGGAGAGTTGACGACATTCCTGAGCGCTGCTTACGAGCCTCATTGTGTGACTGGGCAGAATACTGAAATGTGTAATGAACATGCACTCATATCCCCTTTGGTGGTGTTTCTCAGTTGCCAAGCCATGTCTGACTCTCTGTGACCCCATGGACTGCAGGATGCCAGGCTTCCCTGTCCATCACCATCTCCCAGAGTTTACCCAAACTCATGTCCATCCGGTTGGTGATGCCATCCAACCATCTCATCCTCTGTCATGCCCTTCTCCTCCCACCCTCAATCTTTCCCAGCATCAGGGTCTTTCCCAATGTGTCAGCTCTTTGCATCAGGTGGCCAAAGTGTTGGAGTTGCAGCTTCAGCATCAGTCCTTCCAATGAATATCCCCTTTGGCGGTGTCTTTGCGGGCCTTGTAGATCTTATTTTAGAGAGATTTCTTCACAAGAGCTCATGTAAAGTTTGTGTTTCCTTGTGGATTTTTGTTGGCTTTTGACTTGCATTCATTCACTCATCGTTACACCTAAACACAACTGACAGATCATTTTCCCTGCAAAGCTCAGGGTTGGGTCATAGTTGCATAGCAATAAGGTATTCCCTTGTTTGCTGGCTGGAGTAAAAAGTTTACTATCCTGGAGCTGGCACACGCAATAGACTCCAAATATCCTGCCTCCCAAAATAACCATGCCTCGGGTTGTTCAGGAATTCTTTTCTGAGGCCAAGATGATCAGGCAGATTCTCCTTGTGCCAGGGGCATGTCCTTCAAGGAACTTGTCTTTCAAGCTGCACGGATATTCTCAGCCACCAAGCATGTACTTTGATGCACTTGGACACACGGCTCGAAAGCCAACAGCAAATGTGTCATTTCAACCTTATTCAAGTTGCAAACTTTTACAAACAATACAGCACAGAAGTCATACATTTCTTTTTCAAGATTTGCCATTTACAAACAACACCAAAGTATTATAGCTCTTTCTCTGTATAATCACACAAACGTGCACACAAGGTGAGTAGCACCAGTTACAAGATTCAAAGGCATCTTTGGAAATTTCGGGCTTCCATGGTCGCTCAGCTTGGTCAAGAAGTGAAGTGGAAGTCGCTCAGTCATATCCGACTCTTTTGCGACCCCATGGACTATACAGTCCATGGAATTCTCCAGGCCAGAATACTGGAGTGGGTTGCCATTTCCTTCTCCGGGGATTCTTTCAGCTGGTAAAGATGCCGCCTGCAATGCAGGAGACCCCAGTTCGATTCCTGGGTTGGGAAGATCCACTGGAGAAGGGATTGGCTACCCACTCCAGTCTTTTTGGGCTTCCCTGGTGGATCAGCTGGTAAAGAATCTGCCTCCAATGCAGAAGACCTGGGTTCAAGCCCTGGGTTGGGAAGATACCCTGGAGAAGGGAAAGGCCACACACTCAGTATTCTGACCTGGAGAGTTCCATGGACTGTATAGTCCGTGGGGTCGCAAAGAGTCAGACACGACTGAGCGACTTTCAGTTTTCAATCTGGAACTTTCATTGTAAAAGTGTATTTCTAATATAATCCACATACTAATCTGTTCCTGTTACTCTTCATTCTTTCTTTAAAGAATAAAAAGAAAGTCTGCAATCTTGCCTTTATTTTATGTTTTGGTGTTTTGGAACCTGATGCATATGGGATCTAGTTCCTTGACCAGGGATTGAACCCACGACCCCTGCATTGGAGGGCAATGTCTCAACCACTGGCCCACCAGGGACGTTCTCTACTTACCCTTCATTCTGAAGCAGAATAGTTACTTCCCAGGTGGAGGAACAGGGTGATCTTCTTCTGAAAAAAAAAAAAAAAGACTGTGTTTACATTTCAGCTCTGACACTTGACTCTCGCTTTATTCCCATGAATTATTTTTTGTTCTATTTTTTTCAGATTTTATTGAAGTATAGTTGCTTTACAGCCTTGTGTTAATTTCTGCCATCCTGCAGAGTGATTCAGTTGCGTGCATATATACCTCCTTTTGCCTTCTTCTTCTCCATTAGGGTTTATCCCAGGATATTGACTATTGTTGCTTCCCTGGTGGTTCAGATGGCAAATAATGTGCCTGCAATGCAGGAGACACAGGTTCAGGAAGATCTGTGTCAGGAAGATCCCCTGGAGGAGGGCTTGTCAACCCACTCCAGTACTCTTGCCTAGAGAATCCCATGGACAGAGGAGCCTGGTGGGTTATGGTCCATGAGGTCACAAAATCTGCTAACCCTCTGAATGGCAGCCCACTCCAGTGTTCTTGCCTGGAGATTCCCATGGACAGAGGAGCCTGGTGGGCTACGGTCCATGGGGTCCACGGAGAGTCAGACACGACTGACCGACTAACACTGACTGACTCCTTAAAGAATATACTTGTTTTAAGCTTTAGATCTAAAAGATGTATTTTCAGAAATTCAGAGGTCTGGTCACTTTAAGGAAACGGCTTCCTTGGAATCTGCATACTGCAGAAATGTGGTTTGGCTAACGTTGTTTTCTTTGGTGTTATTCGGGCTTGTATGTCAGTGAAACCAAACAGGACATGATGTTAGAAGTGCAACAGTCTCAATCTTGGTCAAAACACATATCTTGTTTATTTTACTGTGTTTCATCTCTAATTATTCCTGAGAGGAGTGATGAAGAATGTACTATCAGAGGCTAATTGGTCCCATTACCAAAGAGAAGATGTGCACCTCAGACTTACATCAGCCTTAATTAGGCTTCCTGGAACACACTCACAGCCTGTAGCGGCCTTCCTCCCGGTTCGTGCCATCATGCGGCAATTTAAAATATAAATAGCAAAAAGGCGGCATACTAGTTCTGTCTCTGCAAAATTATTGCTAGCATTCCGGTGACATTGGAGATGCAATTCCCATATGAAGAATATCAACAGTGGATTTTTTTTTTAAAAGGTCATGTATCTATTTTGTTCTGTATTTATTTTTTGGTTCCCCGGGGTCTTTGTTGCTGTGTGTGAGCTTCTTATTGTAGTGTCTCCTCTTGCTGGGGGTCATGGCTCTTGCTGGGGAGCACAGACCCTGGGGAGCACAGGCTTCAGTAGTTTCAGCTCATGGGCTCTAGAACACAGGCTCAGGGCTTGTAGCTCATCGACTTAAGTGCCCCAGGGCACGTGGGATCTTCCCAGACCAGGGATGGAACCCATGTCTCCTGCACTGCAAGGCAGATTCTTAAGCCCTGAACCCCCCCTCACAGGGGAACCCCCACATGGAAGTTTATAAATATACAAGCCCTGGATTCAGCCAGCATTTGATGAACTCGAATATCAGGAAATGATATGCAAACTCCGGGAGGTGGTGATGGCCAGGGAGGCCTGGGCGTGCTACAGTCCATGGGGTCGCAAAGAGTCGGACACGACTGAGCAACTGAACTGAACGGAACCGATAAGTATGTACCTGAGTCTGTAACAGACTCCCCAGGTGCCCCAAGAGCATGCCAGCATTGTTGTGATTCAGTTGCTGAGTCATCTCTGACCCTTGTGACCCCATGGACTGTAGCGTGCCAGGCTCCTCTGTCTTTCACTATCTCCCGGAGCTTGGTCAAACTCATGTCCATCGAGTGGGTGATGCCAGCCAACCATCTCATCCTCTGTTGTCCCCTTCTCCTCCTGCCTTCAATCTTTCCCAGCATCAGGGTCTTTTCTAGTGAGTTGGCTCTTTGCATCAAGTACCCAACGTATTGGCACTTAGACTTCAGCAACAGTCCTTCCAGTGAAAATTCAGGGTTTGTTTCCTTTACGATTGACTGGTTTGATCTCCTTGCTGTCCACGGGAGTCTCAAGAGTCTTCTCCAGCACCGCAGTTCAAAAGCGTCAATTCTTCTGTGCTCAACGTTCTTTATAGTCTAACTCTCACATCTGTATGTGACTACACACCACTCTAATGGCATAAAGTGAAGAGGAAGTAAAGAACCTCTTGATGAGGGTGAAAAAAGGCAAGTGAAAAGCTTGGCTTAGAATTCAACAGTCAAATGGAAAAAAAAAAAAAAAGAACTCAACAGTCAAAAAACCAAGATTGTGCCATCCGGTCCCATCACTTCCTGGCAAATAGATGGGGAAACAATAGAAACAGTGACAGACTTTATTTTTTTAGGCTCCAAAATTACCACAGATGGTGACTGCAGCCATGAAATTAAGATGCTTGCTCCTTGGAAGGAAAGCTATGAGAAACATATGCAGTATGTTAAAAACCAGAGACATCACTTTGCCTGATATGCGTGCATAGAGTCAAAGCTATGGTATTTCCAGTAGTCATGTATGGATGAGAGAGTTGGACCATAAAGAAGGCTGGAAGTGAAGTGAAAATTATATGTAAGTTGAGAGTTTGATCTAAAGGAAATAAACCTAGTAGACCACCAAGATCAATAACTCTATGAACAAACTCAATGCAAATGCACTGCTTTCCATCTCTTTCAATTATAAAACCATCCCTATTGGAATATTCCATCTTTGTCCCACGACGTGCGTTCTTTGCAGTGTTTATAGCTATCATAGAACTATATTGACCGATTCTGATCTAAACTCTGCTGTGGATGGTATTATAATAGATCGCTGCAATCATATGCAATTTCATTAAAAGGGATTTTTCTCCGTATAATTTTCATAAGGACCCAATTTCCTTTTCATTCGCAAAAAGAAAAAAAAAATCTATTACCTTGTAAGTCTTTATGCTAAAGTATGGAAAAGTGATAACTGAGTTACACTCAAGAGCAAATGCATTCAATTGATTAATCCATTTAATCATTAATTCAACTGGGAAAAATGAAAAGCATATTAGCAGTCTAACTCACGTTGCCAGAGTCTTATCTATCATCTTCCAT